TAGCTAGATCAATTAGGGATTGATCCAACTAGGGATTAGAATTGGGGATTTAGAACAAGAAGAGGGAAGAATTTGGGGCTGCTGCTGCCGCAGCTATGGAGGGAGAAAAGAGAGAGAGAGAACTCGCAGGAGAGAGAGTTAGGATTTAGGGTTTTGGTTCTGTAATTGCTTAATCCCAAAATAAGACCCTATTACAGATTATATAACCTGTCTAATTCCTATCTGCTACCCAAATAATAAAACGTAACAATTAACTCCTTATTTATTCCCCCAAATACCCAAATAATCCCCCGATCAATAAAAACCGACACTAATACGAAATAACCAAAAACTGCAATTAATTGTGTTTCCCACATCCCCTCTTCCTTCGAAAAACAACCTTGTCCTCAAGGTTGTTCCTCCAGCTGACTAGGTCTCTTCCTCCCCATTTCCAGCGGCCTCCTCCTCATCCTCTGCTTCATCTTCCCAGCGCCCCACTAACATCATCAAATCCGGCTTCGGGCACTGGTGACCAATGGTGAACCGGCCATCGCAGTTGAAGCACTTGCCCTCCCGCCTCTTCTGCTCAATCTCTGCTGGCGTCAGTCACACGAATCCCTTCGGTATGGCCCGCGGCCCCATCCTGGCCACCGGAGCAGGACCTCCACTGCCGGCGTTGGCTCCAGTCGAGCCTCCCCCGGTTACCCCTCCTGTGCCGCCACCAGTACTGCTGCTTCCTCCTCCTCCGCTTGGCTTTGAGAAGCGGCCAATGGTGCTTCTCCAGCTAGCCAGTTCTTCCTCCTTATGACCTGCAAGACGAAAAGCAGTTTTCACAGAATCGGGCTCAAACACCCTGACCGCCGCTGCTATCTCGGGTTTGAGACCCGCCATGCACAACCCCACCAAGGTGTCCTCCGAGACTCCCTTGCACTGGTTCCCCAACTTGAAGAACTCCGCACGGTACTAAGCCACCGTGCCGGTCTGCTTCAGCTTCGCCAACTGCTCAGGAGCCCACCCATCTGACTTACCAAACTGATAACGGAGCTCCTCCTGAAACATGGGCCAAGTGATCAAAGTTGCGGCTGCTGCATAGGATCTCTCCATCCACTCCCACCATTGGAGCGCATCGCCCTCCAGATAGAACGATGCCAGATAGGCTTTCCTCTCCTCCGGAATTGGGTGGTTTTTAAACCACCTCTCAACTGCATACAACCAAAGACCTTCATCCTCTTGCCCATTGAATTTGGGAAACTCAATGGTAGGAGGCTTAACTCGAAAAACTATCCCATCCATTCCCTCATAGTTTGGATACTGGGACCCATACCTGTCATTTCCTGGCGTCCTCCATGGCTGCCCCCACTGAGAGTACTGCATCTGGCTATGATTCCCGTGTCCATAGTCACCCGGATAGTAGCCCGGCTGATTCGGGTATCCCCCTGGAACATGAGGCGCCTCATATGGGCCCTCTCCTCCTCCTGGACCCCTGCTGTCCGCCCTCCGGTTCGGCTGAGCGGTTGGACTCGGTCGATGCCCGGTTCGACCCACCTCGGTTCGACCCATCCCGGTCCGGTTCGGCTCAACTCGGTCCGATCAGCAATGGTCCGACCAATCCCGGTTCGCTCCGGTTCGGTCCGACCCCCTCCTGACCCGTCCGCCTGTCCCGGCCCAATAGGAGCCGACCCGCCCGGCCCCATCTGGTCAGCGGGCCTGTTCGGCCCACCAGGCCCCCTCTGGCTCATCTCCTGTTCAGCCCACTGGGCCTGCTGGCCCGCCAAGCTTAGTTGGTCATACTCAGGCCCACCTTCCAGATCCAGCCATCCCAGCCCGTTATGGACCCTTGTGTAGTGACCCAGCTGACCCGGCCCACCATTCATAGGAGGCCCATCTGTGTCATACCCAGCCATCTTAGTCTTTCCTTTGCGGGCCGCAATTTCTTGGGCCGTGGGTGTAGGTAACAGGCCCGAGCCTGAGCCCAGCCCTAATGCAGTCCGACCAGCCCGGCCCGACCCAGCGTCCGCCGCCCTGCTCCCTTCGGCCCTCTCGACTGGCGCGGCAACCCGAGCCGCCGACACCCCCGCCGGGATCGCCCCGTCGCCGGGCCCGCTGCCCGCCCCGACCTCAGTCGCCGTAGCACCCGCCGGCGCCGACAGCGCCGCCGCCGCGGTCGCCCCGCCTCCGCCGCGGTCGCCCCGCCTCCGCCGCTCCCAGGCCGCCGCCTCCTTCGAACGTTGGCTCCGCCGGGATCGGTGCTCCCCCTGACCCGCTTCCTTTTGCCTGCAACGAGGTAATTGCCCTCATCAGGTCCTCCAGCCTCTGACGCAGATCGTCAGCATCCTCCTTCGCATCATCCTGCACTCTTGCCAGGCCTTCTTCGAGCCTGGCCAGCGCATCAGAGTGCTCGTGCACCACCACCTTCACCGCCTCTAGCTCAGTAAGGTCCTCCATCACCACCTCTTCGTTCGGAACCTCGCCCGTCTCAGAACTCCTCCCGGCTGCCTGCGCTGCCTTTTCCGCGGCCTTCATTGATTTGGTCGATACCATTGTTGCCTTCCCTGGTTCAAGAGTTCAGAGGAACTCACTCTCGAGCCAGGCTCTGATACCAGATGTAGGAAACAAGATTTCCTACAGAATGGGAATTGGGGAATTTAGCTAGATCAATTAGGGATTGATCCAACTAGAGATTAGAATTGGGGATTTAGAACAAGAAGAGGGAAGAATTTGGGGCTGCTGCTGCCGCAGCTATGGAGGGAGAAAAGAGAGAGAGAGAACTCGCAGGAGAGAGGGGAGAGAGAGTTAGGATTTAGGGTTTTGGTTATGTAATTACTTAATCCCAAAATAAGACCCTATTATAGATTATATAACCTGTCTAATTCCTATCTGCTACCCAAATAATAAAACGTAACAATTAACTCCTTGTTTATTCCCCCAAATACCCAAATAATCCCCCAATCAATAAAAACCGACACTAATACGAAATAACCAAAAACTGCAATTAATTGTGTTTCCCACACTCTTCTTCTACTAATTCCATTACGTCATCTCGAAGAAGAACAAGGAGTTCGTCCTGAACGTCAAGCGGCGGCTGTCCGGCGGGGAGAGTTCGGCCTCCGCTTCGATGAGTGAGGCAGCTCTATTGCTGGTCTAGCTCTAGCTAGACCATTTGTTGCCGTGCCGGCCGCCGTCAGGATATTGTCTTATGCCAGCTGGCCTCTCTATTTTATCTTCTTCGGTCAGTTTAATTAGGTGATAGGGTTTCCACCTTTTCTAAGAAAAATGAGATGCAACATCACAGAGATGAAGTTCTACAACATAGCCAGAATGATCTGCTCAACAATAATTAACCTCTAGAGTCAGCAAAATTGTGATACGAACATGATACGAAACAGCAACATTTTCGAGTTTGTACCAAAATGGCCAAATCCATATCTATAATAAAGTGTGGCGAAATCGAGATATGGTGATGTGAAATATGACAACGCCTAGACAACTTATACAACATTGACAATGTGAACGCAAAATAATACTTTACAAATTCATGTCCACCTAATAATACAATCCACACATTAAACAAGCGGAAAAAGTACTTTCAGCGTGGTAATTAGCATATCAAAGAAAGATCCAACGTACGTACAACAAGAACACTTACTCACTTTATATATTGTACGAGTGAAATAACTTAATTTACACACTTCTTTCAACATCATGACATCATCTAGAGAGGTGTAAGTCATGGTAACATTATTATTATTTTTTGCACTTTTACCTGTCAACTTTTTCCGATATGATTTTATTAACACTAGTTTTTTTCTCTTTTGATTCAAAGAACATTCAATTCGAAATATTCCACGAGACACATAAGATAATATATTAAAACTATATGCTTTTATTCTCAAATATGATTACCACGATGTATAAATGGATAAGTCTAAGAGGCATCTAAAGACCTTTGGCTGAACCAAATAAAAAAAAAGGTTTTGACATTAGAGAGTCAATCTATTTTTGTATTGCTAGGGCATCCACCAAACATAGGTAGCTAAGCCAAATTTATGCATTTGGATTTCATTGATGTATATATTACTTGTTCGGAATACTGCTCTATTAAGCAATTCTTGCTACTAGAGAAATTGACATCTTAGCATCTCATCTCACATTCGGATTTCTTTCAAAATTTTGATTGGAATGCCCGTCATTTCAGCAAACTCTAGGATGGAGAGTGGTCGACCAAGTCTGGTTATTCCTTGCCTTGGACAATGTGCTATTTAACATCATCTATATAGGTCTAAGTCATGGTATTGGACTATTGGTTAGGGGTGGCTATACGGTCCGGTCCGGTTAAATTGGCCCAAATTGATCCGGTCCAGTCCGGTTTTTTTGAAAATATAAGGACCGAAGATTGGATTGGATACAGTCCGGTCTTGATCCGGTCCGGTCTTGACCCGGTCCGGTCCCAATTCGGTCTTGATTTTATATTGAGATTGTGGGAATTTGAGTGGCCTAAGGCCTAAAAGGGTGAGGAGTTGGTTAAGTTTTGTATAAGTGCAAAGGTTTGTGACCGTTTATGCAAATTACCCTTAAGTTTTGGGTGTTGAGCTCTCTTATCCGGTCTTTATCCGGTTTTTCACCTCAAATCTAAGCCCAAAGATTGGATTGGATTGTTTACTATCCGGTCCCGGTCCGGTCTCGGTCCGCGTTATACGGTCCGGTTTCCGGTTTTTCATCCGGTCCCGGTCCAAATAGCCAGCCCTACTATTGGTAGTATTATCTTTTGGCGCTTTTACTATTCAAAATTTTCCAATCCAATTTTAATAATTAATAGTGGTCTTTTCTCCTCTAATTCAAAAAGCATGCAATTCACAATACCACAAGACACATTACATAATCTATTGAAGCATACACTTTCATTCTCAAATATAATTTCGATGATACATACGAAAAAATTCACGAGGCAACTAAAGACTTCCGACTAAACCAATAAAATAAAAAGTAATGACATCAACTAGAGTCTATCTATTTTTATTTTGCTAGGGCATCCACCAAACATTGGTAGCTAAGCCAACTTCATGCATTTGGATTTCATTGATGTATCTATTCCTTGTTCGGAATAGTGGTCTACTTGAGCAATTCTTGCTCCTATAAAAATTGACATCTTGTCTCACATTGAGATATCTTCGAAAATTTCGATTCCTGTGTCGCCTGGCATTTCGATGAACTCTAGGCCTGGTCACAATTGGCCGAGTCTGGTTCTCTCCGTGCATGCCCCCATAGCTATTCCTCGTTCGAAATAATGCTCCAGTAGACGGATTCCTAACCCCAGACGAATTGGCATCTCGTCTCACATTGACATTTCTTTCAAAATTTTGATTCCAACATTCGTCATTCCAGCAAACTCTAGGATGGACCATGGTCGGCCAAGTCTGGTTATCTCCACACATGTTGTTCCTTGTCTGGAACAATGTGCTATTTGAGCGATTCCTCCCCCAAGAAAAATCAACATCTTGCATCCTGTTGTGATCTGTTCCAAAAATTTGATTGCATTGTTGCCTGCCATTCCAGCAAACTTTAGGATGGAAAGTAGTTCGCGAAGCTTGGTTATCCCCATACATACCTCCATATCTACTCCTTGTTTGGAATAATGCGTTATTAGAACGATTCCTACCCCAGGAAAAGTCGACATCTTGTCTTGTGTTGAGATCTCTTTCAAAATTTTGATTCTGACTGTGTTCGTCATTCCAAGTCTGATGAGCTTCTTGATGGACCATCGCAGGCTGAGCCTGGTTATCTTCATATCCATCAATGCTAATGTCATTAGTTACATTACCAGTGTGGTATGTTTGATCATAGTAGCTCTGTGTAGCTGCTTGTTGGGCCATAGCACGCAGAGCCTGGTTATCTTCATGCATGCTTCCAGATCCATCAATGCTAATGCCACTAGTTACATTATCAGTGTGGTCTGTTTGACTATCGCCGCTCTGTGGGGCCAACGACGCACAAGAAATCTGAATTCGAAGCTCAATATCCTCCGGCAAAGTCAAGTAATGCACACTAACGCCAGATTCATCAAAATTCTCAACACCAACACTAGAATCACCCATCTCAACGTTACCATTTACATCTTCGACGTGGTCTGCTCGATTGTCGTGACTCTGCTGGGGCAAGAGCGCCCGCGGAATCTCAATTTGAAGCTCGACAACTTCTTCATCTGGCAATGCCACGCGCACATTAACCATAAGGTTATCCCCGGTACCATCGCTGGAATCATCCGAATTCCGCATCAATTCCTCCTCCTCCTCCTCTTCCTGTTCCATCTGGGCCCACGCCTGCTGTCTTTCAGGCTGGGCCTGGGCCGGCCTGACCAAAGGATGGTCAGACCGGGCGTGCTTCCTGAGCTCAGAATAGCTGCCTTCAAAGCCACAATCCTCAGTGGAGCACTCCCTTGGCTTAGTGTTCAAGTAGCGCCGGACGGGCTCCACCACCTCCCAACCAGAGACCGATCCCCGACACAGAGGGCATGTCAGCTCGTGCCTGTAGTCCCCGCCGGCGATGACCATATCTTCTTCTAGGTCACCGTCATACTCCCCGGCCAAGTTGTTGTTGTTGTTGTTGGATGGTGATGGGTTGGAGGTGCCAAGGTATTGGTCGAGGCAATTGGAGTGGCGGTAGCTTGTGTTGCAAATGAAAGGCCGGCATCCCTTGTTGTGGGACGAGCACCGCAACAAAACTGCGTTGTGAGGGTGTTCCATGCATATCGGGCACTTGATTTCTCCCCATTGCTCCTCCTGGGCGCCGGCCGGAAACTTGGAAACCACCGTTGAAGATCCATTACTCTTGCTTCGCTTCATCAGCAATCGGCTCATCATGATTAATCAACTAGCTATAGCTAGCAACGTGCGACTTTGGTGTCTATTGGTGTCCGACCTAAGAATTCCAGAGAGAGTAGCAATGTTGTTAGGTAGGATCCATTGGAATATGGATGGTAAACATTTATTTATAGGACATGATTCAAGAGACACAATTCACCTAGGAAAAGGAAAACACATTCAGTTCCTACCAAGGAAACCTAGTGACAAACTGAAAAGGGATATTGGATTGAATCGAATCGGATCAAATATAATTCGATGGAACTGATGAGAAGAGGTGCTTACAGGGTATAGATTGATAGCTGTTCCGACGGCTGGAGATTACGATTACTGGAGGTTCTAATAAGAGAGAAATCGTTCGTCTGATTGATGATGAAGGATGAAGAGGGAGCGTCGTCAATATTTATAGGCGTGTGTTGTTTGGATTTTAAGTCGGTTGGATTTCTCCCTTTCCGCCTTGGAGTGGGAGTTTGTATCCCGACACGGCAGGGAAAACAGAAGACGCGTAGCGGATATTTTGGGAACCCTAGGCCCAAACGTTTCGAATGCTGAGGCCCAGTGGGCAAGATGTCCAAGCCCATACAACGGTAACTTCAAAACAGTAAGATGTTCAATCCAATCCACCAATCCAATCCATCAATCCATCAAAAATATCCATCTAATCCAATCCATTTAAATCCAATCCAATTGGATTTGGATCAATTGGATTGGTGGATTCATGGATTGGATCCATGGATCATTGACAAATTACGGTTTAGTACCTATAATTTTTATTTTTTACATTTTGGTACCTAAAATTTAATTTTTTATACGAAAAATATCAATGGAAAATTACGTTTTGGTACCTAAAATTTTTCATTGTGACATTTTAGTACCTAAAGTTTTTACATTTTACATATTGGTCCTTGGTTGAGGATGTCATTTGGATTCATGGATAATCCACCAATCCACTTGATCCAATCCATGAATCCACCAATCCATTAGATCCAATCCATTTGATCCATGGATCCACCAATCCAATCCACCAATCCAATCCACCAATCCAATCCATTTGCCACCTCTACCTCCACGGGATAATTCTCCGGAACAAACATCAATAGACATAGAGTGGCGCCTCCGTGCCAGAGATGGCGGTGGAGTCCAGGGATGGCAACATAACTTGAACTCACATATATCCATCTAATTTAATTCGGTCAACGCTGATAAAATTTGTTCAACCAGATTTGTGTTGCCATCGGGTTGGGTTGGGTTGAGTTTGAGTTTATGTAAACCCGTTCAATGGGTACCCACCCACACTCATATAATTAATTTTCTCGGTATATTTAATATTCCAAACAATTAATCTTATTTATGTTTGTGGAGACATGTCTAGTTTTTTTCTTTCTAATTGTGTGGAATGAAGTTGATGTTATCGAGTGAAGAGTGAAGAAACTTAATTGACAAGGAAGAAGAAACTTTGCCATCCCGACCCATTGCCATCCCTAGTAGAGTCCTGTCGGCGATGATATTATGGTGCCACTTATTTGAAATTCGTTAGTAATTACTTTGCTCTGAACTTGGTATTCGAAACAAAAAGACTAAGATACGACATATCAACACAATATAATTGAATTGTCGATTCATTAACTTTTTCGATCATTTGTTAATTCTACATATCGGTTTACGATCTTAGATGTCTTTACCAACGTGTTTTGAATTCTTCATCATAACACTTTTTCATGAAATGATCCAGAAATTCCAATTGAGATATGAATATGAGACCGATATGTATATGATTAGGCATCCTAAAAATACTAGGACATGGTTTCGTTAATGGCTTAGTTAGGGTCTTAGTTGACACAGAAATTCCAATCTTAACTCTGAGGAAGCGATTGATATCAAATATCACAGTAAGTTGAAGAGGGTATGAATCTCTGCCCCAATGCAAGGTACAGAATTTGAACCTTAACAGTAGCTCAAAAGACCCTGCAGATCCTACAAGTCAAAAGCTTTCCTCGAGTATCACAAGTATTTGGTTCCAACTCGTCGAGCTTTGAAGCTCCGTAGCAGCCACCTGACATCCTTTCTTATGGACAGGAAAGCACAAACCACAACAAGGAACATCTGTGGGTAGATCTGAACAGCCTTTCCTGGTTTATAATCATTCTCACCACCAGGTTTCATCAGAAAGACTTCCCTAGCAAATCCCCAAACAATCATAAGCGCTCCAAACAGGCTCATTCTCCTCGGCCTCAGCACGCCTAGTATCGCCCCTGCCACGGACAGATAGCTTCCTGCAACTATCTGCAGAGTGCAAAGCCACGATACCATGATGAAAAACCTTGTGAACTCAACTAACTGCTTTATTTACATTAGAACAACAAATGGGATACAAACCTCGAGATGGCGGAGGCCGGCCGAGGCGGTGGAGGCCTTGTTCAAAGTGGTGAAATCGTACAGTTTCAGGAGGTTACTGAATCTGGGTATGCGTTTGTTGTGGTGGAACAGGGATTTTGCTATGGCTCCAGGGTAGAGAAGAAGCTTCACTAGAAATGGTGGGACGATTTCGGTTGCTATCAACTGAGAGCATGTTAGCTCTACGGGGGATGCACATTTGCCTGTTGCACATGGCACCCTGCAAAGGAGAAAAAGGAGGGAATTCTTAGAGGGAAACGATTCACCATTCATCCACACCAGCAATATGTATTACCGAAGTTCCCATGAACATAACAAGGTTTTCCCCCTTGTTCTCAATTGTACAAGGAAAACCAAGGAAATCTAGATCGGCAAAATGGAGGGACAAGTTTCTCTGAGGACATGGATAGGAAAGCAATCAAAAAGCATTGATCTAACATGGTGTAAATGAAAGATCAAATGGTGTGAATTGTACCTGAAGAGAGGGACTTGGAGGATTATGATGATGAAATGAAAGCAGCGAGCAATGATGGAGATGGTGGCAGCCCATTTCCTTGGAGAAGATAAGGAACGGGACAGGTTACGGTGATTACAATTTTGTAGTAATCACCGTGGTTACTAAGGGTAAATTGGGTATGAAAATTAAATTGTATTAATTAATTTTTTTTATAAATTACATTTTAGGTAATTACAAGAATCTACTAATTACAATTCTCTCTCTTTCTCTCACTTCCATAATCTCCAGCCATATCCCCTTTCCTTATTTTTCTCAATCTTTCTGCAAAAGAAAAAAACACGAAATCACTACCAATCCATTAGACAGCCACTACCACTTTGAAAAATATCAACACTATTGCAAAAATAAATCTATACCATTACACGAAAACTACCAATATAAATGATCTACCAATATAAATCTATACCATTTCACAAAAAATCAATACCATTGCAGATTTAATCAATACCAATACATGCATATTAATACCATTACATGATAATCAATACCAATGCAACAAAAACAATACCAATGCGACAAAATCAATACCAATGCGACAAAAACAATACCAATGCGAAAAAACACTACCACTACGAAAAAATCACTACCATTTCACATAACAACAATACCGTTACATGATAATCAATACAAATGTGTAAATAAATACCAATATGAGAAAATAAAATAAAAAACAGATCTAGAGTCTAGCTAATTGAGAGAGAGAGAGAGAGAGAGAGATGGCTGGTGGGGAGGATGGAGGAGAAAATATAATGGCGTCGGTGGTGTTGGGTGGGGAGGAAGGAGGGGAGAATGGCGGTTGTGGGTGTGGGAAGGTGAGAGGGATGGGGAGGAAGGAGGAGAGAATGGCGGCTGTGGGTGTGGGGAGGGGAGAGGAGAGGGATGGCGGAGGATGGGCAATGGGAAAGAGCAGAATGGTGGTGGCGGCGGACGGGTGGTGATGATGCTCGTCGGGGAGGAAAGGGAGGAAGGAAAGAAAAAACGAAGAATTGTTAGGTTTGGTGATAATTATTTAGGGTTTTGGAGAATATATAGAAAGTTATATTTTAAAGGTAGTAATTAGGCGTGGTTGTTATTTTTTTCCAAAATTATCCCTAATCAATTATGACCGTCAATTTAAAAATGCTGAAAATGGAGGGTGGAGATGCAGGTAGCCACGATGATTACTAGAAAATTAGTAATCATCCTAACTCATTCCGATAAGGAACCCATTGTTTTTCTTTTCCTGGCTGGAATAAGCATGTCTTGGGACGCAGATCAGAAAACCATGGCGATGCAGTTGTCGCTGGTTGCAACTTTCAAGGGGACAGTTAGCACGTATTGCAGTTAGGAGAAGAAAAAAAATGGAGCCGAGGGAAAAAAAATAAAAAAGACGCTAGAGGGAGGGGTCGAACCTCCGACCTTGTGGTTAACAGCCACACGCTCTAACCAACTGAGCTACCCCAGCTTGATGTTATACAATATCCCAAACCCTATTTAACATATAGCTGGCAGGAGCACATACTACAAGGTCGAGCTTTCCCGGTACAGTGATCCATTGAACCAATGTGGCTTTACCAAAACATCACAAAACACCTTAAATATGTCCTGGTTTTTGCTTTATAAGTCTACATCTACAAATGAGCATGTATTTGCTTGTCTTCTACCATGGTCAATCTGGGATTACAATTACAAATATCAAGCACAAAAAAGGTAGAAACTAATAGGCTTTTTTGCATCTGGCTGGAGGTCAAAGAACTTCTTGTCATGATGATGTAGTTCTTTACTATAGCATTGGTCAACCTATAAGCTCTTCCATCAAGCCCTGTTGGTAACCAGTGGCAGGAAATCAGTGAACTGGAATAGTTGTGAATGCCATCTCACATTATTCAAGTTGATCTAATAGGGGTCAAGACCAGAAAACTCACTCGTGCAATATACTGCTCGGCATCAGTTCTCTTCAGGAAGTGCATTGAATGACGGGCGAGATTGGCAGTCTTGTTGCTTAGCAATATCCCTTCACCCATATCATCAAGGACTCTCACCTTGATGTAAGGATCTTTAGGCGGCACCATATCCTGGCATACACAAATAATCAAGCTCTTAATGAACCCCAGAAAAGAGGTTCACAACAGGGCGGAAAAGTGAAAGAAAATATATGCAAGTTTGTTGAAGGCTGAAATACTTTCCGATGCCATATAGGACTCAGTCTAAAGTCTAAACATGTCTTCTCTCCCCCATTGTCATGTTTGAGCGATTTGAGTATGAAACTTCATTCTTTGTTCTCTAGTACTTCAGTAAGAATGGTTTGGGCTCTCCTCAACTAGTAGACGCAGCTTATGTTCGGATATATAATAGTTGCAAGTTCAGAATTTAAAGAGCACCATCATATTGGTGAATGCCTGAAGTTTTATACTGTTGTTACTTCATGAACTTATATTCACCATCTAAAGAAACCAAAGAACTCTACTCGTTCTCTTATGTGAAAGGGGCCAGACAGCTTTGTTTAAGTACCTTATAACATCTATACTGAAAAATCGATGACAAAGACAGTGACTTTGATGAATGAGCTTGTGAATGAGCTTGTCTGAGAGAAAGAGGAGAATGTAATTACCACATTCAAGTCAATACCAACATCAGCCATATATGTCTGTAGAGCAGCAGAATGCTTCCCAAAATAGTTCTTCTCTGGGAGACTGAGCTTCTCTTGAATCTCTTCTGGAAGCTCAAAGAGCTCAAACCCCACTTTCCATGACAAACTTCGTATAGTTTCTGTGCGGTTATACCTGCAATCACCCAATAATCATAGACATAATGAACCAAAGGAGCTGAGGATATCATGGTTCAAACCCGTGTAATCAAGTCAACCATACGACCCTATATATGAAACAAACACAGTTCATTGAGCACAAAAGAAGAAGATGCTCACACATAAGCCATTAAGCAGCGCTTGTTACGAAGTAAAGCAAGATGGTGAACAAGAGCTCCATAGTGATCCTCATTTCTAGTTTCCATAGCCACATTTTCTTCCTGCTTCTTCCTGTTGTCCAATCAAAGTGAATTACAGAAGGCAATGATCGATACAATTCGTAGCCGGAGCAGAATCAAATTGGGTATGGTTTACCTAAATAAAGCCTGAAGCTCTAGAAAATGTTGGGTGCATTGGTCAACGACTTGATTGAACAGATCCTCCTGCCAAAGTTCCCCCATCAGTAAGAAAAATATCTGAGCGAGATTGGCTATCTGAACACTAAACTTGAAACTTCCAAAAACCCATTCACGATTGACCTATCCAGGAAAGAAACCAAAGTTGGGAGTTGATAGCAATAGAATAGCAAAAACCGAATCTTACATTGAATTGCTGAAGATGCCCTTTCTCGCACTGGGCTAACTCCTTTACCAGCTCATACGCCTTTCTAGCATACATCCTCCTAAAGAACAAAGATCCTCACTTCAGATAACGTAATCAACAAAAGAGGGGGGAAACGGAAACAGAGCGGAAATTCCATTCGGTTGAGGGATTTTATCAAACAGATGGTGTGCATACCGCAGAATAAACGAGAAATCCCAGCAGCAACAGGAAAGAATCGAAGAAATAGGTTTTGAGTTCTGTAGTCGGAGGACTCGGAACTCGGAAGACTATCCTTCGGCGGTTAGGGGACGGGCAAATAGAATCGCCCTCAGTTGAAAAAGAGAAATGGTTCTTCTTTTGGCGGGCATTTCAAAAAATGGACATTTTTTCGACGATTTTACCGCGAAAGAATGTGCTGGGAGCTTTCTCGCACTGTCGTGGAACCAATAAAAACGTCGTCGTTTCGAAACTCTAAACGCGATGATACGACAAGGAGCCCGAACGTAAAACGGCGACGGCAACTCCTCCCTCTTTTTCATTCATTCTGTCAGTGAACATCAACAGTCAAACATAGAAGGCAATTGGGCAAAGCAAAGCAGAGATTCGTCTCCAATCATTGGCTTCGACTTTCCTGCTTATTTGAGAAAACTAGAAACCCAGAGATTTGATTAGGGTTTCGTAGAGGAAGAAGAGAAAGTGAGTCGGCAGTTTTGTGGAATTCGCCGTGTTGGCTTGCATTCCATTTTCTGATCGTTTATATACAGCTTACAGAAGGGAAAGGTAAAGTAAACGAAACCTATCTACTGTTTATCAACGGTAACATAACTAATTATTGAAAGTGACCAATGACAGAATGCCATGTGTCTAAAGCCTATCACTAATCAGGATTTGCTGCATACGACGCCGCATCCACTTGTGGAGTATCACCACTTAGCTGCTGCGACGTCGTTCCAACCATCTTCGTCTCTTTCGTCTGGACTGGGTAAAAGGAAGCCCTGTTCCAGTTCTGCAATTCTGCTCTGTTCGAAGATCAGCAATGGCTGTTTAATCCCTCCATATTCACAGGCCCCCTCAAGCTGCGGAGTACATGTCATGAACTCCCAGCTTGCAAAGTAATGTCTCAAATCGATCCGATGACAAACCTTTCGTAAAGAAGTCTGCCAGCTGATCTTCTGAGCGAATGTGATGGAGAGTGAGAAGGCCTGTCTTCAATCTTTCACGAGTCACGTGGCAATCAACCTCTATGTGCTTCGTGCGTTCATGGAAGACCGGGTTTTCTGCTATATGTATGGCTGATTGATTGTCGCAGAAAACCTTGATTGGAGCTGGATGATTCACCTCATAGAAAGACAACAGTGACTTTAGCCACTGAACCTCACACGAGAGTTGCGCCAAAGCCCTGTATTCTGCTTCAGATGAAGATCGTGATACAGTGGTTTGTTTCTTGCTCTTCCATGTAACCAGGGAATCGCCAAGAAATGTACAATACCCTGTAACCGATTTCCTAGTGTCTGGACATGTTGCCCAGTCAGAATCGCAGTAGCCTCGAATAGAAGTAGAAGAAGTAGAAGAAAACCATAATCCTTGAGCAGGGTGGCCTTTTAAGTACCTCAAAACTCTGTGTAATGCTGTCAAATGGGATGTAGTAGGGGCCCCCTGAAATTGACAGAGCTGTTGAACTGGAAAACATATGTCTGGTCGAGTGGATGTCAGGTACTGCAATTGACCCAGCAAATGGCGATACTGTGTTCCATCTTCAAGTAAATTACCATCAGTAGCAGATAAAGTGGTCTTCATGCTCAAGGGAGTTTTAGCTGGCTTAGACTCAAGGAAACCAGATTCAGAGAGAAGCTCAAGACAAAACTTTCTTTGACACAGAGAGATACCCGCAGCAGTTCTGGCAATTTCTATGCCAAGAAAATATTTTAAGTTCCCCAAATCTTTGATCTTGAAAGCTTGTTGAAGCTGTTTTTTGACAGTCTGAATCACTTGTAAATCGTCTCCAGCCACAATGATATCATCCACGTAAATGATTACTATGACTGTAGCACCTGTAGATTTAAGTTTGAACACAGAATAATCATCATAGGATTGCTCAAATCCTATCTGCTGTAAGCAAGAACTGAGCTTAATGTACCACTGTCGACTGGCTTGTTTCAAGCCATATAAGGACTTCTGCAATTTCAAAACTTTTCCCTTCATTCCTTCCTGATCCTTCAAACCATCTGGTAAGTCCATATAAACATCCTCTTCAAGATCTCCATGGAGAAATGCGTTACTGACATCTAACTGATGTAGATGCCAGTCTTTGATTGCTGCCACAGCCAGCAGTAATTTCACAGAATTCATCTTTGCAACAGGCGAGTAAGTGTCAACAAAATCCACACCTGCAGTTTGTGTATAACCTTTGGCCACTAAACGTGCCTTAAACCTCTCAATTTCCCCATTAGGTAGGTATTTGATCTTAAATACCCACTTATTCCCAACTGTAGTCTGACCATCAGGTAAATCCACTACTAACCAAGTGTGATTATCAATCAGAGCTGCAAGTTCTTCCCTTATAGCCTTTTCCCAGCGGGGATCTTTAATGGCTTGGTTGTAAGTGTGTGGTTCTGGAACCACAGTGATTGAAAGGGAGAAGTGTCTATGTGAAGGGGTTAGATGATCATAAGAAAGGCTGTCTTCAAGGGGATACAAAAGTTTGGAATCATGAACAGAAAATGTGTGAGTGAGGAGATCAACATGATAATCTGAAAGATGACTTGGTCTTTTTGACTCTCTTTGTGCCTTTCTGAGAGCTATAGGAGGAGTTGGAGGAATAGGAGAAGAACTAGAGGGAATTTGAGGTGGAATAGTAGGGTTGTGAGGGGATGCTGAAGTATCATCTTCTGATACATCAGACTCATAATCAGAAGCAGTAGGAATGTAACTTGGATCAGTGGTTTCATGTACATTATGGTCCTGAGGAAGAATGAAAATAGGCTGTGTATCTTCATACACATGTGAGTGAGGGAGAGGAGTGGAAAAAGATGGTTCTGCAGATTGTTGGGAATCCAGGAAAGGAAAACAGGATTCATTGAAGGTAACATCCCTACTGATGAATATCTGATGAGAATCCAGATCATATAACCTGTAACCTTTAATGTTGAAAGGATATCCTAGGAAAACAGCTCTACGAGCTCTAGGATCAAACTTCCCTTTATGATCATCCAAGACTGTTGCATAAGCCATGCATCCAAATACTTTTAAGTTGCTGTAATCTGGTGGTATACCATACAGACACTCAAATGGTGATTTATCATTCAAAACTGGGGTAGGAGTCCTATTAATTAAGTAAGCAGCATGCATGACAAAGTGACTCCAGAAGCTGACAGGCAATCCAGACTGTATTTTAAGCGCCCTGGCAACATTCAGCAGGTGTTGGTGCTTTCTTTCCACCCTGCCGTTCTGTTGTGCAGTTCTAACACAACTTAGTTGATGAATAATGCCATGCTCCTGGTAGAAACTAGGCATATTGAACTCCTGCCCCTGATCTGATCGAATAACCTTAATGATCTTATCAAACTGGGTTTTCACCATTTGACAGAAAGACTGAAGCAACCCTCTTGCTTCTGATTTACTACTCATTAAAAACAGCCAAGTGCATCTGCTATAATCATCTAAAACTGTCAAGAAGTATTTAAAACCATCATGGGAGACCACATCCACTGGTCCCCATATATCCACATGTATCATGTCAAAAATTGACTTACAAACTGCAGTACTTCGAGGAAAAGGTAACCTCTTCTGTTTAGAAAGTTGGCAAATCTCACAATGAGATGAAGAAGGTAAAGTAACTATACTACTTTGTTTCTGGACAGTCTTAAGCCTAGGCAAGGACAAGTGACCTAGTCTTAAGTGCCACAAATCTGATTCTTGACTTGCTCTCACTCCACAGACTTCATGACTGGTTTTCTTAGCATCTCCAGCTCCTTTCCCCAGCAGGTAGAGCCCTCTATCTACCTGGATTGAACCAATCTTCTGTTGTGAGATTAGGTCCTGAATACAACAGAAGTTTGATTCAAAGAGAAGTGAGACTGGGGCTTTCTTAGTTAATTGGCTAACAGAAATCAAGTTGTAGGCAAAAGAGGGAACTAGGAGAACATTGGTTATCAGAAGGCCACAGGGAATCTTAGCTATCCCAATATGAGTTACTCTAGCTGTCTGTCCATTAGGAAGTATCACATTCATGTCAGATACTTCTTTGCTTCTTAATAACAGACTCGTATTGCATACAATATGGTCACTAGCACCTGTATCAAGTACCCAAACTGTAGAAACAGCTTGTTTTAAAGTGGTTGAGAGACAAATGCTACCTGAGACTGAATGGCGAGAGGCACCAGCTCGAGTAGTCACTGAGTTTGATTGTGGAGGATGAGATGAGGCAGGCTGGTGTTGTAGCAAATGTCGAAGTCTGTTGATTTCTTCTGAACTGAACCAGATTGACTGTCCCTCTTGACTGTTTCTATTCTCAGACACTGGACTTGTTGGACTTTGTGCTTGAGAATTGCTCCCAGCAGAGCTACCTCCATCTCCTGTATTTGTCTCAATTGAGCCAGCAAAGGTTTTTCCACCTCCTTCAGTTTTCTTCTTGTTCTTCAATCTATAACAGTCTTCTATCATGTGATTATCTTTTTTGCAGTAACGACAGAAAAGTTCTTGTTGAGGCCTTTTCATGTCTCTCCCAGTATCTCTTCGTTCTTCCCTTCGTTGGTTAGAGTAACCTGAACCTGAAGATGCAGCTAGAGCAATAGTATCACTATTTGGTTTACTCTTTCCAGTGTTCATCTGCCTTTCCAACTGGACAACTGCCCTGTACACAACATCGATATCTGGGAGAGGATCGAGCATAAGCATCTGTGTTTTCACCTGCTGGTAGTTTTCATTCAACCCAAGCAGAAACCTAATCACCCTTCTTCTATCCTGATATTTCATGACAGTCTCATAGGTTTTAGCTGCACAATCACAAAAGGGAATGGGCTCATAGCTCTCCTGTTCATCCCACAACAACTTTAGTGCTGTGTGGTACTGTCTTACGGTTTGATTACCCTGTTTGGTGAGGTCGACTCTCTCCTGTATATTAGCGATTCTCACAGAATCACCCTGACTGAACTTGGATCTCAGGTAAGTCCAAGCTTCTGCTGCAGATCTGATATTCCTAAGACTAGGCACAATGTCTTCGGAAACCGAATTCCTAATCCAACAAAGAACTGTTCCATTACATCTATCCCAAGTACTATGGGTAGAATCAGTATCAGGAGGTACCTGCACAGTGCCATTGATGAAACCCCACTTGTTCTTGGTGCGAAGAGCGACCTCCATTGACTCGCTCCACAGGAGGTAATTATCGTCATTGAGCTTGAATCCGATGACAGGTAAGAATGAGTTGTCGCTCGGAGCCAAGTACAGTGGGTTGCAATATGGATCTTCATATCGATGAGACTGAGTATGCGTGCTTGTGGTGGAATCGGAAGACTGGGTTTCACCATCCACCATTGTTCACAGAGTAGAAAGGTTTTAGAAAGGAATTGGTATGAAGGGTCAGCAGCCGTAACCAGGCTCTGATACCATGAGAAAACTAGAAACCCAGAGATTTGATTAGGGTTTCGTAGAGGAAGAAGAGAAAGTGAGTCGGCAGTTTTGTGGAATTCGCCGTGTTGGCTTGCATTCCATTTTCTGATCGTTTATATACAGCTTACAGAAGGGAAAGGTAAAGTAAACGAAACCTATCTACTGTTTATCAACGGTAACATAACTAATTATTGAAAGTGACCAATGACAGAATGCCATGTGTCTAAAGCCTATCACTAATCAGGATTTGCTGCATACGACGCCGCATCCACTTGTGGAGTATCACCACTTAGCTGCTGCGACGTCGTTCCAACCATCTTCGTCTCTTTCGTCTGGACTGGGTAAAAGGAAGCCCTGTTCCAGTTCTGCAATTCTGCTCTGTTCGAAGATCAGCAATGGCTGTTTAATCCCTCCATATTCACATTATTGCAGCGTCGCATTTTATGGGTTCATAGCCTGTTTGACAAAAACTTGGCCGCTCTCATGAAAAGCCCAGAACTTCGTTGCTGCTGTAGCTTCGCGGGAAGCTGTGCTGTCAGTGTTGTTGTTGCTTTGTCAATTGTACTGGTGATAACCTCCACGCATTGCGTAGAAGGATTCGAGTCTGGGTTGCAGCTCCCGCGATCTGGGTTTCTCAATGGAAGAGTTAAATCAAATAGGGTTCTCTTCATTCATGATTTTGGTGCTGCTGGAGATGGAGTTGGGAATGATACCCAGGTAAAATTAATGAAAAGTAATCGTCTTTGGTTTTTTCTTGGTGAGTTTCACTACATGATTAAGTAAAAAAGTTTCTATCTTTGCTCCCTTGTCTCACTAAAGATCCCTTGATGGCCAAATTTGTCGTCTTGTTGCTGAATTACTGCCCAATTTTTGTCGTCTTCTTCCCTTTTAGTGGTGGGTGCTCATTTGGATTTGCATATCAGGCCCTGAAAGATTGTTGGGAAGTAGCTTGTTCTTCACCAAAAAGACCCAGAATCGTAGTCCCAGCTGGTACTTATCTGGTGCACCCGATTGTTCTCTCTGGCCCTTGTAAATCCAAAATCACATTCAGTGTAAGGCATCACCATTCACCAATGTGTTAGTGAGTGTGTGAAATGAGTTTGGATTCTGACTTCTTAACTATGCTCCTCCAATTGTAATGTCTGTTAGATATATGGTACAATTGTAGCACCCCAAGATCCTGATGCCTGGAGGGGATTGAATCGTCGAAGGTGGCTCTACTTCTCGAAGATCAACCATCTCAGTGTAGATGGAGGGGGAACGATCAATGGCATGGGAGAGCAATGGTGGGCTAACTCTTGCAAGACCAATAAGACTAATGTATATATGCATCCCTTCATTTTTCTGCCCGCATGTTTGTCCATTGATTCAAGTTAGTTTCTAAACCTTGCTTCGATCAATTTGTTTTTTGGTACAGCCATGCCGAACAGCTCCAACGGTTAGTGCCACATTATGCTGCTGCAGTCACAAAGTTTTTGTTAGGCGTTCATGTGTGTGTATGACAATTGAGGGGGTCCAAAACCATGCTGCAGGCACTTACCTTCCACAGGTGCAAGGATTTGAAAGTCACAGACCTTAGAGTGGTCGACGGTCAGCAAATGCACATGACAATGACCAATTGTGTTCGAGTTTCCCTGTCCCAGATTGCTGTGATGGCACCTGCTTCTAGTCCTAATACTGATGGGATCCATATCAGTTCATCCCGTGGCATTAACGTCATGAATACCACCATTGGAACAGGTAGCTTGATAATTGGCTCTTTATTGTTAAGGGTACCTTAATGAGTAGATGTTTATTAGTTCTGATAAAAATGATGCTATCTGCAGGAGATGACTGCATCTCTATAGTTGGTCACTCTTCAAGAATCAATATCAAAGACATTGCTTGTGGACCAGGGCACGGTATAAGGTATGAGATTCTGGAACACCCTGAGCATAATAACATGTATATCCGATGGTGCTAATTCCTAATCATAATTCATTAGCATCGGAAGCTTGGGGAAATCGAACTCAACAGCGTCTGTGAAAAGTGTATCTGTTGATGGAGCATTCTTGTCCAACACACAGAACGGTCTGCGGATCAAAACATGGCAGGTAAAGTAAATCTCATGAACTACCAATCTACCATTCTGGTGCAGCAACCCACACTTGACCTCGCGGATGGATTACATTTCTCTTCTTTGCTTGGACATTAGGGGGGCAGTGGTGAAGCCAGTGACATCAACTTCCAGAACGTGCTCATGGAAAACGTATCGAACCCGATTATCATCAACCAATTCTATTGCGATTCAAAGATACCATGTGCAAACCAGGTATGGAACGATACATTCCAGGCAGCTATCATTCAAATGCTAAAGAGCCTATATCATCCCTCACTACCTGGTTTAAACTATGTATGTTGTCCTGAACTCAGACCAAGGGAGTGAAGGTGAAGAACATATCCTTCAAGCACATCGAAGGAACTTCGGCTACAAAAGAAGCCATGAGATTTAGTTGCAGCGAGTACACATCATGCGAGGGTTTATATTTAGAAGATGTTCATCTGGTGTTAAGCTCTGGTGAAGGATTCGCAGAGAGTTTCTGTTGGGAAGCCTATGGGACAAGTGGAGGTTCAGTGTTCCCACCGCCATGCTTCTCATCTGATCATAAACAGTTGTTCGTTATTAAGCAGGAGGTTCCCAATGAACAACAATTTATTGATTCAATGTAAATTTCTCTAGAGGCTGAGGAAATCACTGAATCAGAGCCAGAAGGAGTGAGATACTGATTGCAAAACTCTCTCTGAGGTTTTTAAGAAGAGCAGAAACAAGATTTTCATTAGTCTGTTTTGAAGTTTTCTAAAAACAAAAAAATGGACCATTATATTTTAGGGGGATTGAACCCTACGTGAATCGAACACGCAACCTTCTGATCTGGAGTCAGACGCGCTACCATTGCGCCAAGGATCCTGGTGGTGACTTTTAATGAACTGAAATTTATTTAACACATTACGAAAGGGAAGGAGACCGTCATGGACCAAGAGCGCCACTAAGCCTAATTAGCAGTCTCTTCCCAATCAACCTACTTAAGACAAACTTAAATAATAATTTTTCTAGAATCAAACCAAGTAGCTAAATTTACCAAACCATAGTTACAAATTACAATTAATGAAACATGAATGGTTGATGTAACATTGTGATGCACGACAAATCACTTGTGTGTGAGTACGTAATGATGATGTGAAATGTTTTTGTTTCAAAATATATCGAAATGAGTATCATTTTTACATCAATATCATTAAGTAAGTTTTTTCACGTGGAAAAAAAACCACGAGTTGAAACCGTTTCTTAAATTACTTTCATTGCAATGCAACCGTTTTGAAATGGAAGAGCAAATGTTTAAACTAATATGAAGAAGAAAATATTCACCATAGTCGAAATTCTAATTTCGAAACCAACAACCAACGAAAAAGATGTTGATGATTACTATTTCATGAGCCACTACTTCCATTATTTCTTTTTTTTTTTTTTTTGGTAAAACCTTTCATGATAATTTTGAAATGACTAGAATTCGACGCAAGACAGGATGTGGACAAAATCAATGTGCCTTGTTCTGCCCAAAATGTGGGTGGAATCTGATATCATCGAGATTTTGAGTGCATATGGGAAGTGGGTTGTGGAATATTATTATTGCCTTATTGGCAGCTGGACGATTGCAGAAGCGCTTACAGCAAGCACGTTCCTTGGTCTCAATTCAAGCCATTTTCTGGAAATAGGTAACACATAAATAATAAACTTTTATTACTTTATAGGTTCATAGTTAGAACAGAAAATCATACATAAAAATGACGTTGGATACATAATAATCTCTTCAACACAACATTGTTTAACAATATTGGCAGACAGCATACATAGTACTAGAACAATTCTCCAACGACTCTCACGCCGACGATAAATAGATAGATAGCAGACACCACATCCCGCTTATAATCTCCATCAATTTGAAGCACTCCACTCACAGCTTGCGGTGATGATCTAGAAAAATCAACCATAAAAAAAACATGTTAAACGGTACGATAAGTCGCGTTCTAATATGAAAGCAATATCTATACGCTACGTGGTATAAAATGACGAGACTTACCACCGTGGTGGCCGTGGTGGTACCCCCAATGATGGAACTGAGGCTGAACATTGCTGCCGGAGATGGTTGCTGGACGAATGGCGGCGGCAGACATGATCATGGAGGCCACGGCCAGAACCCAGACAAAGGCAATCAACAGGCTTTGTGTCTTCGCCATTTTTGTATTAATTGGGTCGAAGTTCAAAACCTGAAAGCAGATCTTAATTGTGGGTTAAGAATGTGCTTTCAGGTTTGGAATTGAGATGTGGTGAGACTGAATGCACTCAGCCAACTTCTCATTTATAGCCTAGAGGTTCCTTGGTTTCGAGTTTTGGACGCCAATCAGGATCTGTTGATGAGAGTTGTGATTAATGAAATAATGATAATTAACAATGATCGTATGATACGTATTATGGTTCCCACCTAGGTGCGGTTCTTCAGATGGCAAATCATGTAGCGACGGAAGTAGGTATATAGGGAGGAGAGGACAAGGCCGGCTGAAATCAACATCTTTCGGGGTTTTTCTCTTCGACCTTTGGAATTCTAGGTTAAACCAACAATTTTAGATTTATGACATTGTTGGTTAGGTCATCCGCATTCTTTTAGATGGTTAACCATATTTCATGATAACATTTTACCTGTTAAGTGTGATTGATTCAATATCATTTTCTTCGTCGGTTTGCACGTGCTGTATAGAAGCTAAGGTTACTCACTCTTCTTTTCCGTCTAGTACAATAGTGTATGAGGTAGGGGTGGCTATACGGTTCAATCCGGTTAAATTGACCCGAATTGATCGGTTCTGGTCCTGTCTTTTTGAGAATATAAAGACCAAATATTGGATTGGATACAGTCCGGTCTTGATCCGATTCGGTCCCAATTCGGACTTGATTTTAGATTGAGATTGTGGGGATTTGAATGGCCCGACGGAAAATTTGAGTGGCCTGAGGCTTGAAAGGGTGAGGAGGTTAAATTTTGGGTGTTGGGCTCTCTTATCCGGTTTTTGGTTAGGTCCCGAACGGTTTTTTACCTCAAATCTAGACCCGAAAATTGGACTGGATTGTTTGCTATCCAGTCTCGGTTAGAGTTATACGGTGGGGCTTGCTATTTGCCGCCAAACAAATTGCTATTTGCCGCCAACTAAAAAAAAAAAAAATTATATATGTACATCTTTGGTTAAGAAATTTCACAATCTACAACATATCCAACTTTCAGAAAACGTATTGAATCAGAAAAAATCGACGCTCGCCGGAAAATTCGCCGGAAAACCATCGGGAAAGCCCATCCTCGACGTAAACTGCGGACACGCATCCATGAATCATCACTAAGCAGGTGCGTCAACCTCCCGTCGTTCTCAATCGTCGGAAAACAAGTAAGTTTACTTTTTCCGGCAAGTTTTTCAATTTTCCGGCAATTTTTCCAGTTTTCCGGCGAAAAACACGGTGGGCCGGAAAAAATTTGCGGCCGGTGCGCCGCCGGGCCGAAAAAATCTTGTGGCCGGTGCGCCGCCGGACCGAAACTTTTTTTGCGGGCGGCGCGACGCCCGGGCGAAATATTTTTTCGGCCCGTCGTCGCCCCAGCCGCAAATTTTTTTCGGCCGGTCGCCGAACGCGCGCCGTGAATTTTTCCGGCGGCGCGTTCGGCGACCGGCCGAAAAAAATTTGCGGCCGGAACGCCGCCGGGCCGAAAGATTTTTTCGGCTGGGCGTCAAGCCGGCCGAAAAATTCTTTCGGCCCGGCGGCGTTCCGGCCGCAAATTTTTTTCGGCCCACCGTGTTTTTTCGCAGGAAAACTGGAAAAATTGCCGGAAAATTGAAAAACTTGCCGGAAAAAGTAAACTTACTTGTTTTCTGACGATTGAGGACGACGGGAGGTTGACGCACCTGCTTAGTGATGATTCATGGATGCGTGTCCGCAGTTTACGTCGAGGATGGGCTTTCCCGATGGTTTTCCGGTGAGCGTCGATTTTTTCTGATTCAATACGTTTTCTGAAAGTTGGATATGTTGTAGATTGTGAAATTTCTTAACCAAAGATGTACATATATACTTTTTTTTTTTGGTTGGCGGCAAATAGCAATTTGGTTGGCGGCAAATAGCCGTTCACTATACGGTCTGGTCTCGGACCGGGTTATACGATCCATTAGAATTCATCATCCAAACAAGGTAATTCCGTTTAGACCCAGTAGTAGAATTCAGCTCTGATCCTTTGATATCATTTTATAAAACACGTGACATTTTGTCCCAACAATCATGTCCTTGAGTTTCTCAACATAATGGACTCGTAAAACAAAAGAATCAACATGTTTTGGAGTTAACACGAGCCATTCTTTTTCATTCGTCCGTAATGAGTCATGCATGGATGGGCAGAAGCGACACATACCGTTGTGTATCTCATCAATCATAACATCACTTCAGTCTTAGCAAATAGATCCCCTTTCAAGAGTTGTTTGGCAAGGCTCCTAATTACACAATCCTCCGCGTGTTTTGGTGTGTTTGTTATGTTCTTCTTCCAAAAAGGAGCTCAGCAAACTAATGTTACGTACTCAACATCAATTTGAGGAAAGGTGTTAATTGTAGAGCCGCATACAATTTAATGTAGTTGTATACTACAAAGACACATAAGGGTTAGGGGTTACCGGATCAAACTCTATAAATATTGTAACTTGTTGAGAACTACTACACAGGTAAACCGTAATAATAATACCTAAAACCTTGGAGTTAGTGAGGCCCTCTCCATAGACTTGGGTCTATAAGACAATACCACGTTAAAAAAAATTCTTGTATTCTGTCTTTCGTTTGATATTTTGACAACAAGCACGTTCGTTGGTTTCAATTCAAACACCGAGGGAGGGGCAGCAAAATTGGCTTCTATTTTTGTGGCTGTTTGTTTGCTGAAACGACCAATGTGACTCCTACTGATTCATAGCAAAATTTTCTTCAAATAGAAAGCATTGTTGTTTTCTTGTGATGACATGCATTGTTGGAAGTCGGAAATACGTGACACAGAAATAATTAACTTTTATTACTTGATAGGTTGATAGTTAGAACAGAAAACCATACATAAACATGACGTTGGATACATAATAATCTCATCAAGACAACAACATTGTTTAACATTGGCAGACAACACATAACATAATATAGTACCAGAACACTTCTCCAAACGTCACGCCAACGATAAATAAATAGATAGCAGACACCACATCCCGCTTATAAATCTCCATCGATTTGGGACACTCCACTCACAGCTTGCGGTGATGATCTAGAAAAATCAACCATAAAAAAAAAAAAAAACATGTTAAACGATACGTCAATCAGCGTTCTAATATGAAAGCAATATCTATACGCTACGTGGTATAAAATGACGAGACTTACCACCGTGGTGGCCGTGGTGGTAACCCCAATGATGGAACTGAGGCTCAACATTGCTGCCGGAGATGGTTGCTGGACGAATGGCGGCGGCAGACATGATCATGGAGGCCACGGCCAGGACCCAGACAAAGGCAATCAACAGGCTTTGTGTCTTCGCCATTTTTGTATTAATTGCTCGAAGTTCAAAACCTGAAAGCAAGTGCTTAATTTGTAGATTAAGAAGCAAGCTTTCAGGTTTAGAATTAATGGGATGTGGTGGTGAGACTGAATGTAGTCAGCCACGTCTTATTTATAGATTCCTTGGGTTCGAGTTTGGACGAAAAATGGGATCGGGTGATGAGAGTTGTGCGGTAATGAAATAATGAGAGTTTACAAATGATACGTATTATGGTTCCCCACCGAGGTGCGTTTCTTCATCGGATGGTGAATCGTGTAAGGGAGAGAGGGAATGGCCGGCGGAGTGAGGCGGAGGTAGCTATAGGCAGGAGAGGACAAGGTGGCCGGCTGGCCGGCGATACGGATACTGGCAACTGGCTTCTTCTAAAGAAATCATTAATATATGAGGAATTTTACAATACTATATAGTATTGGTGCTATAGGTTTTTACCTTTATGGTACAACTTGAAATTGTACATTCAATGTTATGGTACAGTTTTAGATTATACCTACACTGTTTTGTACATATTCTTTATGGTACAACTTGAAATTGTACCTTTATGTGATTGTACAACTTCAACTTGTAAAGTTGTACCATAACATAAGGGTACAAATTCCTTTATGGTACAACTTGAACTTATACATTTAATGTTATGGTACAACTTCAAGTTGTACATTAAAGCACCAATACTTTATAGCATAATAAAAAGGCTCTTAATATATAGGGATCTCCTACAGTAACTTGGATATAATTTTAAGTTAGGTAACTTGCATAGATTTAAACCGTTAAAATTGATCACACTTATTTTAAACCATTGATTAAAGAAATAAAAAATAAAAAAATAACTATAAAAATAAATGGCAAAATGAGTTGCCGGTCACCACATACCCAAGTTACCTTTTTCAATTTTTTCTTTCCTTTTTTCACATTTAGTTGTCTTTCCATATTTTAACATTTCCTTTTTTAATTCTTATTGAATTAGAAGTGTTACGTAAGGCTTCCGTAATAACTTAGCTCTTTACGTAACACGACGTTAATATTCATTACGTAAAGAGACCTTCTATTACGTAAGGCTTCCGTAATTATATTTTACAACTGTTACGTAAAATACACATTCACTACGTAAAGGTTACGGAATGATAGTTATTTCTTACGTAACACTTAAATCGGAAGCGTTACGTAAGGCTTCCGTAATGACTTAGCACTTTACGTAACTCAAGGTTAAGACTCATTACGTAAAAAGACATTCCATTACGTAAGGTTACGAAACGACAGTTATTTCTTACGTAACAGTTAATTCAGTAGCGTTACGTAAGGCTTCCGTAATGACTTTGCATTTTACGTAATGCGAGGTTAATACTCATTACGTAAAGACACATTCTATTACGTAAGGCTTCCGTAATGACCTTTTACAACTGTTACGTAAGATTATCATATGTTACGTAACCATTACGTAATGCCTATTGCGTTTTACGTAATACAACCTGTGAAACCTGCTATAGCAGGTACAAAAATTCAAGTTACCTTACTTCAAGTTACCATAGGAAATCCCTAATATATAACCTTCTTCTGATATATATGAAAGCTGTCCATTAAGTATGAGGAGTGGGTTCGGCTGCCTATGGATAGGACCCCAGGGTGGTTTCCCCTTCGGCGGCTTCTCCTGAGGCACACCCAATCGGTCTTGCTACGGAGGATAGTGTTGTTTGTATGTGGGATGGGGCAGTGAGGAGGGGGTCGCATTCGGCTGATGGAATGGTTCTTCTGACTCCGACGAGAGATGTTTGGCTGGTTAAAGGGATTCACTTTCCGTGCGTGGATGACCCTATGGTGGTTGAATTGCTTGTCCTCCGAGAGGCTATTTTGTGGTGCCTGTCGCTCGGCCTCTCGAAAGTGAAGTTTGAAGGTGATGCTAAGGTGCTCATTGATAAAATCAATCAGGCGGATGCAAGGGATAACCGAGTAGGAGCTGTTCTGGAGGAACTTCTGCACTATTTTAACAGCGATACTGATTTTTGTGTTCGATTTATAGGTCGGCTAGAAATAGGGTAGCCCATATGGTGGCTCGTAAAGCCCTCTCGTTGTACCCGACTATGGGTCGTTTCTTTGATTTTCAGGCCTGGCTGAATTCCAGGTTGTAACTATCTCTTTTGAATCATTATAAGATTATATTTTGTAAAAAAAAAATTGTCCATTAAGTTGGTGTAATTGTTGTCAATATTAAAAGTTAGGGTGTGCCTACGGTGACATGCATGTCACAGTGACTTGCACTTTCCGGTCGACCTCAGTTAGGATTAGGTCGACCTCATTTAGAATTCGGTCGACCTCATATAGGATCTGGTCGACCTCATTTAGGATTCGGTCGACCTCATATAGGATCAGGTCGACCTAATCTGTTGTTTCAGTGTAAAAACAGTTCATGGTGCCTACTTTGGACATTCATATCATACAATTGGTAGGGATGGCAATTTCGACCTGACCCGTTTTACCCGACCTGTTTGACCTGTTTTGGGGCGGGTCCGACCCGCCCTGTAAGCGGGACGGGGCGGGCATGGGTAGTCTCATCGATCCGACCTGCCCTGACCCGCCCCATTCTCGACCTGTTCTTGTCTAAATTACATAAAATCTTAGTCAAATTACTTTGAATTTTACTTCTATCGCATCATATTTTAGCTATAATAAAGTTGTAAATTAGTGAAAACCTCAACTTCTCCAATAATTTAACTACAATTGTCATAATCTTGTTTATTTTCTTAGTTTTATAATAAAAATAACGAATATTTCTAATGTTTTTCAAATAAATTGCATACCCATTGGGTCGACCTGCCCCGACCCGCGACCCGTGATCAATTACCCGACCTGGACCCGCCCTGCCACGGGACGGGTCTGGGTACCAAGAAACCCGCCCCGGACCTGCCCCATTGCCATTCCTAACAATTGGCTAGATGGAAATTGAAGACTAATGACTTGTTTTGAAGCTGGAGTGTCCCTCTACATATTGAAGTGGAAGAGAGCTCGATAGGAAGTCTAGAAGACCATATTTGAACCTCATCAAAAGGCTATGCCAAAACTGGGAAACTGCCTGGAAATGGCCAAGTCTGGAAACGTGTTTGTGAAGCCTATTTTGGAGCTCAATTCGAGAAGCATGAATGCAAGTCGAGTCCAGGAGCCTCTACCATGTTAAATTAGGTATGTTTTTATACAAATTCAAGGCATTGGATGAAAGATTGGATATATGTAAGGCTTCAAACAAAAGGGTCGAAGTTGCTACGAAGACTATTTTTCTGGCAGACTTCGAGCACAAGCAAGCTGCCAGAAAAACAGCCTTCGTAGCAACTTCGAGCTTTTTGTTTGAAGCCTTAAAGATATTCAATCTTTAATCCAATGCCTTACCTTTGTATAATAAAATACGTGATTTAACGTGGTAGAGGCCACTGGACTTGACTCGTATCCATGCTTCTCGAATTGAGCTGCAAAGTAGGCTTGACAAACACGTTGCCAGACTTAGCCATTTTCAGGCAGTTTCCCAGTTTTGGCATAGCCTTTTGGTCAGGTTCAAAAATGGTCTTCTGGACTTTCTATTGAGCTCCCAAGTACTTTAATGTGTAGAGGGACACTTCAGCTTCAAAACAAGCCTTTAATCTCCAATTTCCATCTAGCCAATTGTAAGATATGAATCTCCAAAGTAGGCACCATGAAACTGTTTTTACACTGAAACAACATATTAGGTCGACCTAATCCTATATGAGGTCGACCGAAAAGTGCATGTCACCGTGACATGCATGTCACAGTGACTTGCACTTTCCGGTCGACCTCATTTAGAATTCGGTCGACCTCATATAGGATCTGGTCGACCGAATCCTCATTTAAGATTCGGTCGACCTCATATAGGATCAGGTCGACCTAATCTGTTGCAGTGTAAAACAGTTCTGACCTAAGATAAAAGCTATTTATTTGTAAATAATTAAGTTGATATTAGGATATTAACAATTTATAATTTATACCACTTATTTACGTATGGTATATTGCTTTCCATTCCGGGGAATTTCTTGGGGAGCTCAAAGTTGGGTCCATACTCCTTACTCCTTTTCTTTTTACATTGGAAATTCATTAGAGTTAATACCTTAGTTTGGCTCGAAGTTTGGTGTAAGTGACAGTTCTGACCCTAATTTTCAAATAAGACATTTATGGCCCACTTTTTATATTATTGGACAGATTTGGCCTAGAGTTTGGTTTGACCGTTAAATTTGACGATTAACCTTTTATTTCATCCATGACTCAGCATTTTATAGTGACTTGTCTTCCATGTCATTTATAGAAAAAACTTATGTCAGCCAGTTTTTTACACGTCTAATTTATTAAAATATCAAATTTTATTAAATATTAAAAATATAAAATTTCATTATCGACCTAATCCTCTTCCCCGACAAAACCCTCCAATCATCAACCATCCCTTCGCCGCTTCTGTTTCTTATTCCCTGAAACTGATTTTGCCTTTTCTTTCCCCATAGTTCTCATGTTCCATTCATTCTCTACTTCCAATAATGCAACACAAATTTGAAGAATCCAAATCAATTTCAATAAAAAAATTCACATTTCCTTAATCGTTCTCCATTCTCAGATCTTTTGAACAAGCAGTCAAGTGCAACCGCCGAATTTCTGGGTTCTTGACTTGAATACTTTGCGGAAGAAGTTAGAACGGCAGGACTAAAAAAGGGACGGGATCTGGAGTTGAAAAAGGAAGCGTTATTAGTTGGAGATGACGAAGTAGAGACGATGTAGCTTCAGATCTCGCGGTGACGTAGCTTTAGATGTTGCGGCGGCGATGTAGCTTCAGATCCCGCGGCGACTCGCCTCATACGTGATTTCAGAGACCTGTTCTCTGGTTTATTACCAATTCATTCTTCTGGCTTATGTATTTCCAACCCAAAACCCTCCATAATCTCGTTTCCTTCTTCTGCAGACCCAGAGCAAGAAGAAAGACCATCGAGCTCCATCATCATCGTCAATAGTCATCTTCAATCGCCAATCGCCACCGTCGATGCGAATAAGCTCAACTGCACCTTCTTCCCACCAATGGCCCCTGCATCTTGTCATCTTCAATGTCGTTGGGGTCCCCGCTTGCTTCAACACCACCGCCGACAAGATGATGGTCTTCCTCTTCCCTTGTTCTTTGATTACCTTGTCGGAGGAGGAAGCAAGAATCTGAATCGTGGGCCTTTTAGAGTGCTAGGAGAGAAGAGAAGAAGATTAGGGATTTTGCTTGAGGTCTTCGATTTTTTTTTTAATTGGGTTAATACTCTAGTTTGGCCCGAAGTTTAGCGTAAGTGACAGTTCTGACCCCATTTTTCAAATAAGACCTTTATGGCCTACTTTTGAAATTATTAAACAGATTTGGCCCAAAACTTGTGTTGACTGTTAATATTAACGGTCAAACATATATTCCGTCAATGACTCAGCATCCAACGCTGAAGTGGCATCCACGTCACTTATTAATTAAAAATTAAAAATCAAAACATTAAATAAGAAATAAGAAGTTCAGAAGACTTCTCTTTCCTCCTTTTATTCCATAAAAAAAAGCCTAACTTATATCTCATCCCCCTCTCTATGTTTCTACAGACTAGAGTAAAGATTGCAGACCCCCAACAAAATCCCCACCCGCCGGTCTCTCTCCAATTTTCTTTCTCTTCTTCTTCCTCTGAAAATGGCCACCGCTCGGCCGCTCACCCAAACACCAACAAAGACATTTCACATAGCACGTCAATCGGCTACCACTCTAGTAAATGCTCTTTTTTCTGGTTAGAAGATGGCAGATCTGAAAAATCCAACGCAAAATTGCAAAATCCAATTGGAGCCCGGAGATTTGGAACCCGACCCCGACACCATCTCCGATGTTGTGGCCTAGAGCGACGCCTCTAGTTGCTTCCTGGTCCTTTCCTTCTGATGCCGACCAGAGATCCCAACCGCCGGCGGGGAGGTGGTGGCGAGGAAGAAGGAAGCAGAGGATGGATTTTCGATGAGGCGATGACGGAGGGTGAGGAGAGAGAAATAAATCCCGAGTGGGTAGCATCGTGGCGTCGTAGTCGTCGTCACCAACCACCACCATCTTGACTCCTGCCGCCACAATCCCTTTTTGCTTGAGATTGGAATTTTAGGGATTTATCCCCCTTAAAGCAGCCACCACTGATCAAAATCGAAAAGTCCGGCGTCTCCATCAATGGAGAAAGATGGATTGGTGGACGAGGGCGAACCAAGTGCGATGGGGAAGAAGTAAAGGGCGGATTGTTGCGGTGGCGGACTTGCGAGGGGAAATGTCGGAGGAAGATGGAGGATCGTTTGCGGCAAATGAATGGGGGCTTTTTCAAAGTTTAATTTATTTTATTTTTATGTTTTGATTTTTAAATGATGTGGACGAGTCTAGTCAGCAGTGAATGTTGAGTCACTAACGGGAAAAATGGTTGACCGTCAATTATAACAACCAAATCGTTTCTGAGGCCAAATCTGTCCAATAATTTTAAAAGTAGGCCATAAATGTCTTATTTAAAAAATGGGGCCATAACTGACCTTTACGTTAAATTTCATGCCAAACTAGGGTATTAACCTTTTTTAATTTGTTGCTTTGTTTCATTTAGTTTTCAAAATATTTTCCACAAAAGTAAATAAATCATTATTTAGTGACGTGGCCTAGCCACATTAGCAATTTTTGCTGAGTCATTAATGGTGAGAATGTTTGACCGTCAGTTTTAAGGGTCAATTCAAACGTCGGGCCAAATCTGTCTAATAATTTCAAAAGTAGATCACAAATGTCTTATTTGAAAAATTGGGTCAGAACTGTTACTTACGCTAAACTTCGGGCCAAACTAGCGTATTAACCCAATTCATTATATAACAACCCAGATGGTGAGACTTTAGCCCAAGGCGGACAAAGGTCTACAAACCAACCTCATGAATCATGATCAGTGGCGGAGGCAGGATTTCAAACTACCCATATCCTTTATTCAGAATATATATAATATTTTATAAATATAATTAAAATTAGGGCTAATACCACTACAACACCCGAACTATCGCGAAAATGCCACTTGTGTCCTATTGTTTCCAATATTCCATCTGTGTCCTGAACTATGATACTTTGTGTCATTTGTATCCAGTCAATTTCGTTGACCGTTAAAGATAACAGTTGACCAAACGGTGTTCAACACGAAGTTGACTTTTGTTGACGTGGCAAAAAAAGAGGCTGCCACATAGGTGCCACGTCATTGACCTAATATTTTTTTTAATTCCAATTAAATAAAAAAATGAGTTAAAATTAAAAAAAATGTAAATTCAATTATGTTATTAAGCCAAAATTTTAAAACAAAATAATAAAAAACTCTTCTTCTTCTCTACCGATTCACACTCTCCCTCTCTGAAAAATCTCTCAATCCGGCTCAGATGCGCCGGTGGCATGTAAATCCCAATTGAACAACCTGCGAGCAAAATAGATCAAAGATAACCCAACTCGCCAATCTTTCATCGTGCCGCTACTATGGCCGGAACCCAGAGAATGGGGTTAATTGAAAATCAAAATCCCAAATCGGGTAATCGCCAGAATCCAAATCGATTCTTTTGAATCCAATCATCGGAGAGACAGAGGGATTCTCAGCCCATGATTCATGTTCAATGATTAAAGATTTTGGCGATGAATCTAGAGAGGATTTGCGTAGGCGGCGGTTAATCTTCCTACTCTCGCCCATGCTCGATTAAGAAAGAGAAAGGAAGAAGATGGAAGTTGCAGTAGTGGGGTGGCTTGGGGTTGGGATCCAACATAGCTGCCGCTAAGATGGGGGAGGCAGCTTGGCGTTGTTGATTTGGTGCCTATAATTGCTCTGTCCGCCATTTACAGAGACATCCAGATTGGAAGTCGAGAGAGAGAGAGAGAGAGAGAGGGAGAGAGAGAGAGAGAGAGAGAGAGAGAGAGAGAGAGAGAGGAATCCATTGTTGCTCGATGAAGCAGAGAAGCAGCGAGAGGGAGTTAGTGGAGGCGGTGGGAGAAGGGGAGTTGCTAGGGGAGAGGGAGTGAATCGTCGATCTGGAGAAGAAAATCGGCGATCTGGAGAAGAGAAGTAGGTCGCCAGTGGTGAAGGGTTACCAAAATTGGGGCTGGGAGGGCTGGGCAGTGATAGGAATGAAGCTACTTAGGGAAGAGAGAGTAGTCGGATTGGGATTGGGGAAGAAGAGGAAGGAGCGATGGTGCCGCCGAGCTACTGGCTCCAATCGATGGCGCAGCCTCCAGATCCTCGAAACCCCTTCAGCTTGCTACGTTCGTGTCGGCTGTGTTGGGGAAGAAAGGAAGGAGCGATGAGGAAGAAAGGCTGTGTTAGGTAGGATTTTTATTTTGTTTTATATTTTAAGTATTTTCTTTTTCTTATTTTATTAATATTAGATGAAAAAAATTAATATTAAAAATTCCATGTCAGATGCCATATCAGTGCTGACTAGATTTTCTGTTAAAAACTAACGGTCAACAAAAGTCAACACTAACGGAATCATAGTTCAGGACACAGATGGAATATTGGAAACAATAGGACACAAGTGGCATTTTCGCGATAGTTCGGGTGTTGTAGTGGTATTAGCCCTTAAAATTAATAATATCTAAATAATTCATTCACAGAGAAACAAAAAACTGACTAATACAATTATTGTTTCATAAATAACCAGGACGAGTTTTCATATTATGAAAGAAATGTAAAATACATTCATTGTTTACACCATAATATCGTGATAATACGTAACGAGCTATTGTGAAATGATAGTGTCATGAATGAAACCAATAATTTAATTATTTTTTGTGAATTAATGAACAAGTAATGAGTTATGTTGTAATGTTAAAATATCCTTATTTTACTTGTAAGTGTTTAATTCGATCTGTATAAATATATGTGAGGTTATTTTTTTCCCTCCCCAAAAGTTACTCATGTCCCGGGACAGGGGCAAACACCCTTGCCTCCGCCTATGATCATGATGTCCCCACCAATGAAATCAAATTCTAACCGAGATTGTTAAACCTCTATACATCGGTTAGTTGAATCAGGTTCGATCTAAGTTGGGCTCTAAAACGATATGCAGAAAGCTAATGGTCTTGGCCACTAAAAAGGGAAAAGAAGAGAGAGGGCAGGTCATAGAAGTTAAGTACGTTTTTTTAATGAGATATGAGTTTCTAACAAATACATGCTGGGTAAATTCTATTTTAGTCATTAAAATTTTAAATTATTACCATATTTGTATACGTATTTAGAACAGGGGCAGACCCAAGTTAGAGCAAGGTGTGTCGTCCGACACACCTTCACTCAAAATTTTTGTGAGAGACCCTCATTTGGACTGTACAAAAATTTAAAACTCGTACCTCCGACACACCTCCAATAATTGTAAGCGACACACCTTTATTAGGCTACAAGAAATTTGTTGTTATATAGTTAATAAACTATATAAATTTGTATTGTCTTTTAGTTTACTTGGGTTTGAAGTTAGTTTTGACTTTACCTATTGCAACCGAAAGCTTCCAAAGGCCTTTTATCTATGAATTGGTTGAATTACCAATTTATGAATGATTTTTTATTTGTGTCTACCAAAAAAAATCTTTGATTTGAAACATGGGTAATGAATATATTTTACAAACCCTTGAAGATATGAAAAGCCGTTGTGGTTTATCATAAAAAATGAGTATATTGTGAACTTTTATGAATTATTTTTTATTTAATATTTTATTTTATAGATCGTCACAATACTGGGTCCGCCATTGATTTTGAAAATGTATAAAACGATGCAAATAGGCACCGATAAAGCCATTAAATCTCAAACCACTTATGTGACTGGCTCAACAAATTAAACCGGTTTGACAATTCTGCAAAAGGCATAAAAGGAAAGCCAACACAATGACAAGCAAAACCGAACGAGTTATTCTGGCCCACAATACCACATCAATCAAATAATTTTTCAAACAGAGTTATTATGTTTCAAATATGAGTTATTTAAACCGAAATAACTCATAAAAAATTCATTCAAATGACTCTAGATGGATGAGATTTTGGCCCTAGCCCCAAGGACACAATAATTGGGCAAATGTCTACAACTACAAACCTTACCAGCCCCGTCAATAAAAAAACAAAAGCTCGACCAAGCCTGTAGGTGCCGGAACCCACATAACTAAAAGCAGATCCAAGCGAGACACACGCACACCACGTCACCACCTCCATACTTAAAAGCACAAACATCGAGACGATAGACTAAGGGGTTGTTTGGAGGTTGGGATTCTCCAAATTGAAGTATTTAATCAATTTGTGTATTGTAATTTGATGTATTGATTAAATGTATGAATTTGAAAAATACATTGTTTGGAGGTTTACATTGTGTTTTGTTATAAATGCAAAAGTAGAGGGTAGACAATTCCTTGGTCACAATCTCACCTTTTGATAGAGATTGATAATCACTCATTTTGAGTGATTGTGGGCGGGTCAAAAAAAAAAAAAAATGTAATACATGTATTCTGTCACAAATTTAACCAAAAAAAGATTTAATCTTGACATTACATACATTGGCTAAATACATCGATTGAAATCTCAACCTCCAAACGACCTCCAAACGACCCCTAAGAGGCAAAGCCCAAGTGAAATGAACCTCACCTTCCTTCACGAAGTCAAAACCATGGCAGGATCTCTCAAAGGATTCTCAAGCCTTCTCCGAAACACATAACCAAAGAAGCAAAGATAGGAGGAGAATCATATCCATGAAGAAGTAGGCAGGTTAAAAAAAATTTCATCCTCCTCCTCGGGGAAACGAAAAATAAAACGAGGGGTGGTGTCAATCAAAGCCACCGACGGCATAGTGGAGATAGCTGAGCAGGAATTTTTCTGATTTCCTGTCTGGATCTGCAGGCCTCCATATATCATATTGTATCTTTCTGGATTGATTGTACGTGTTAATGCCGACTAGCTTCTCAATTATTGTATTTGACATCACACCCAACATTCAACTCAAACACGAGACCAAATCCATGGCGTACATTTGGCTTGGTGCCGGCCAGGCTTGTTCATTATATCATTACCGACCTCTGTATCTCTCTCTGCTTCAATTCACAGTCTGATTACAGTAATCTCCCACCGATGAAGACCACCGCCGAGCTTGTTTTCATCCCCTTCCCCGCCCCCGGCCACCTCTTCTCCATGATCCAGCTAGCAAAGCAACTCGTCAACCACGACCACCGACTCTCAGCTACAATCTGCCTCATCCCCCTGCCATCCGGCAACAACACCAATCTCACCGCCGGCGACGACTCTCGAGTCCGATTCGTCAACCTCCCCGCCGTGAAACCGCCTCCGGACACCGATCCAGCCCGATTCCTGCCCACCATCCTCGAGGGCTCGAAGCGCCACATCAAGGAATTAGTCGGATCTGACGTCGCCCGACTCGCCGGGTTCGTCGTCGACATGCTCTGCTGCACGGCGATGATGGATTTGGGTAGCGAGCTCGGTGTTCCTCCCTATGTCTTCTACCCATCGGGGGCGAATTTCCTCGGGTTCATGCTCGAATTGCAGGCGCTCCACGACGAAGGGAAGCTCGGGGACTTGGCCGAGCTCAAGGACACGGAATCCGAGATGGCGATTCCGAGTTTGGAGAAGCCGCTCCCCTGTAAGTTCCTGCCGTCCGTCGTCGTCGAGAAGGAGTGGCTTCCCCTGCTTATTGACAACACCCGGAGATTGCGGGAAGCCAGGGGTATTGTGGTAAATACGTTCCTGGAGCTGGAAACCTATGCTTTAGGCTCGGTCTCGGTTGCCGGGAACCCTCCGGTTTACCCGGTCGGACCGCTGCTGAATCTGAATTCGGCTCGACCGGAGGAGGAGGAGGAGGAGGAGTACAAGGAGGTGATGGAGTGGCTGGACGGCCAGCCGGCCGGGTCCGTGGTGTTCCTCTGTTTCGGGAGCATGGGGAGCTTCGCGAAGGAGCAGGCGACGGAGATTGCCGCGGCGCTGGAGCGCGCCGGTCATCGTTTCCTGTGGTCGCTCCGGCGGCCTTCGGAGATGGGGATTACGGGAGTACCGGGCGAGTACGAGAATTTCGATGATGTGTTGCCGGGAGGGTTTTTGGATCGTACGTCTGGGGTTGGGAAAGTGATCGGGTGGGCCCCGCAGATGGCCGTGTTGGGTCATCAGTCGGTGGGAGGGTTCGTGTCGCACTGCGGGTGGAACTCGATGCTGGAGAGCGTGTGGTTTGGCGTCCCGATCGGGGCTTGGCCGATGTACGCGGAGCAACAGCTGAATGCGTTTCAGTTCGTCGAGGATCTGGGGTTTGCGGAAGAGATCAGGATGGATTACCGATGGGGTAGTGGGAAGATAGTGACGGCGGAGGAGATCGAGGGAGGGATACAACGACTGATGACGACGACTGGAAATGACAGTAGGACGAGGAAGACGATGAATGAAATCAGTGAAATGAGCAAAAAGACATTGGTGAATGGTGGCTCGTCGTACTCTTCTATGACTCGTTTTATCCAAGATGTGATTGATAATATTCCATGAACATAAATCGATGGTATTGATGGTTGGCCAATGTTGTTCTATGTTGGGACTTGTATTGTTCTCTCCTCTTTCCCTCTTTCTTTCTATCTCATTGCGGTTGCTAACCTGGTTAACTTGAATTTGATTCGGATCTATATTTGATTTCGGCTGGTTTCAAAATGAGTCTTGTGATTTTTACGAAAAGAGCAACAAAAATTGAGATATTTATCGAGAATTTTTCATTACACACTGCAAAAAAAAAAAAAAGAGTAAGATGTTTGTATGTCATTTTTCTTACCGAGCAATGATTATTATGATACAACAACAACTTCATTTTTTTCATGTCTTTCTGATTGCTTATTGAGTTGTTTGGGTCACAAATCACCATTTATATCAAAATTATAATACGATAATATATATGATTCTTTGATATGAATGATTGAACTTTTAAATTTTCCATTTGTCTATAAGTTGATTATAAAAAATTTACCATAACATCCAAATTATTGATCAAAGATCATTTTCTAATTACTGATCATACCCTCTTGGACCTTTATGGTCGTATATGATTATATTAATTAGCTCAACACGACTAGTTATAAGGAGCCAAAGCATGGCCGGCCAGCAAAGCCATGACGAAACCTATCTCAGCCTTGTCCTCCAAGCTACCTCTGTCACTCTCCTCTCCCATAATTACATGATTAAGCATATATATAAAAAAAGATCATCAGTTAATCACAATCATAATCCATACACCATGAACACCACAACGGCGGCCGAGCTCGTCTTCGTCCCCGCGCCAGCCGCCGGCCACCTCTTCTCCGCGGTGGAGCTAGCTAAGCAACTCGTCACCCACGACCAACGACTCTCGGTCACCATCTGCGTCACCACCATGCTCACCGCCGGATTCAAAGCCGCCATCGATCCCACCGCCGACGACTCCTCCGTCGCCTCCCGAATCCGATTGATCGATCTCCCCATCGTGAAACTCCCTCCAAACACCAATCCCAGCGAAACCCTGCCTTACATTCTCGAAGCCTCCTCTGCCTCCATCAAAAAAATCGCCTCCGACATCATCCGACGCCGGACCGAGTCGAGCGGCGACTCGCCCAGGCTCGCCGGATTCGTAATCGACATGTTCTGCACGAGGATGATCGATGTGGCCGGCGAGCTCGGCGTTCCTTGCTACGTTTTCTACACATCGGGGGCGAATTTCCTCGGGTTCATGCTTCACTTGCAGGCGCTCCGCGACGAGGGAAAGCTCGGAGACTTGGCCGAGATGAAGGATAACGAATTCGAGATGGCGATTCCGAGTTTGGAGAAACCTCTCACCTGTAAATGCCTTCCTTCCGCCGTCGTCGAGAAGGATTGGCTTCCCCTGCTCATCGACAACACCCGGAGGTTACGAGAGGTCAGGGGAATCGCCGTAAATTCGTTCCTCGAGCTGGAACCTCACGCAATCGACTTCCTCTCCACCGGCGGGATCATCCCTCCGGTTTATCCGGTGGGACCAATTTTGAATCTGAAGGCGGTTCAGGGTAACGAGGAGGTGATGGAGTGGCTCGACAATCAACCGGCGGCGTCGGTGGTGTTCCTCTGCTTCGGCAGCATGGGGAGCTTCGGGAAGGAACAGGTGACGGAGATCGCGGTGGCGCTGGAGCGATGTGGTCAGAGGTTCCTGTGGTCCCTCCGGCGGTCGCCGGAAGCAGGGGAGGTTGGACCGCCGAGTGAGTACGGGAATTTCGATGAGGCACCGCTGCCGGCCGGGTTTTTGGACCGGGTGAGTGGAATTGGGAAAGTGATTGGGTGGGCCCCACAGACGGCGGTGCTGCGCCACGTGGCGGTGGGAGGGTTCGTGTCACACTGCGGGTGGAACTCGGTGCTGGAGAGCATATGGTTTGGTGTGCCGGTCGGGGCGTGGCCAATGTACGCGGAGCAGCAGCTGAATGCGTTTCAATTGGTGGAGGAGCTGGGGCTGGCGGAAGAGATCAAGATGGATTACCGGTGGGACGGTGGGATGATGGTGACGGCGGAGGAGATCGAGGGAGGGATACGGCGGTTGATGGCGGCGGAGAATGACGAGGGGAGGAAGAGGAAGACGGTGAAGGAGGTTAGTGAGATGAGCAAAAAGGCGTTGACGGAAGGTGGCTCGTCTTGCTCTTCTCTGAGTCGTTTTATTCAAGATGTGATCGATAACATTTCTTGATTGTATTTCGGACTGTTAAGAGGTAGGAACTTGTGCAAACAGTCCCCAGAATGCACAGAGAAGCAGTTATATCAGGATCGACTTTCCATGATTTAGTAACGACATGAACATCTGGATTTGTTTCGAATCCTCAAAGAACAGTAAACGTCCTTGTTATACTGTAGAAATTTGCTATGCTCAGACTTGCTATATGAACTAATGGCTTCCAACCCAGGAAGAACCAAGTTTAACTGTCTAAGTAATGGCTTCGACCTAACGAACTACTGCAAAAACAAGTTTAGGCAATGAGAACCAATAGGTACAGCTTTGTTCCTAAATGATCTGAATGGAAGAAAACCAGCAACCCATGGCATTATATATCGTCATCATCAGAAACTTTGCAGAAGTGGCCAAACTACTAGCTAGCTAGGAGTAGATATATAGCGAATAGTCGGACTTGCACAGGAAGACCCTTTGACAAAATAATTGATGAGTTTGTAAGGCACAATCTCAGTCCTAGAATCCAGAATCAAAGACTCCAATCTCAGAAAAGGAGACTGCTCATTTCCCAAAATCCCACTAAACGTACTCAGCACCTACAGAAAGAACACAACTTTGAAAATGGTATCTGGAGAAAGGAAACATATCATCTATAAGATATATGAAGCCAAAACAAGGGTTGAGTTTGCAGGGATTCAAATTTCCACCCCGCAGAGGGTTTGTTGGAAGGGCAATATAGGCAATTCACAATTAAATAAAGCTGTGCGTTTCACCTCCTACACTTTCTGCTGGTGGACCGGGCCAGTTTATTATATAGTCGGACCGGACTCTTGCCCCCTGAAGTAGCCGGCCCAAACTCTTTCCCCCTGAAGTAGCCGGCCCAAAGACCTGCTGGTGAAATGCTTCCATCGCAATCTCTCGGAACCCATATTCAGCTGCCGTGGCAATCCATGCCGTGTTTACTTCTTTCTCCGTCTCACTTTCGGTCTCAAGCCCTGCACTTCAATACCACATATGCAATTGTGAGGGACGCGTGGGCGGAGGGAGCTGCTACTCCTCCAATTGAATTCCCCAACTATTCCCCAGCTGTAAGTGTGAAGGGCGTGTGTCAAGAGGGGAGGGATTGGAGACGCGTGGGAGGAGAGAGCTTCTACAGCCTTTCGTGGTGTACTAATTAAACCTTTATTTTTGATCAATTAGAGCTTGCTGGTTCATGCTTAAGTGTGATTGCAATCAAGATAATGTCCGGAAATCAACAAACTGGTGGAACCTCTTCAGTACAAACCGGTGCTCACAACCGTCGGAATTCAAAGGGCAAATGTAATTTGATTTCTTTGGTTTTTTCCATATTCCATTGTTATTGTGCTGATTCAAAATGGACACAACATATACCGCCTTCCTCAATTCTGTCTTATTTTGCAAGGTTCATGCGAGCTATATTCAACCCGCCAAAACCTCCTTGCAGACAACAAACTGCTGCTGAAAGGGATCGTCTTAATCAACGTAGTCCCGCGACTCATTTTTAGACATGAAATTAAATTTTACTTTGTTACAAAATCAGAATAATTTGATTTGTATATTTCAATTGCAGAAATACTCACCCTTCAAGCACAAGTTCAGCATATTGATCGCTTGATATCTCAATTCTATCGAAAACGACGACGAGAGATTTTGAACAAGCGCTTGCGACGTACTGTTCAACATATTCCACATGGTAAGCTTAGCATCTTTTAAACGTCGTTCTTTATTTTGTAAGGTGTATTATAGACTATTTTGCATACTCATAACATATTCCATATGTGCATTGCGTTATATATGTCACGGAGAAGGATTCCACGTCGTCCTAATGGATTTAGTTCATGCATAATTAACTTTGTTACCACAGATTATAGTTCATGTATCTCCCGCCTTCGGACAAAAAGGGCACGTTTAATGCGAGCTATTCATTTGTACAAAAGGCGGATGATTAATGCTGTACCGAGGGGGTTCTCCCGTTCCCATGGTTTGTGGCATCATATTTTATATTTTTACATTGTAAATACTTATTCATCATGTGTGAGTTATCTTATGTAACTACTTTGATTGTAGGATATCCTGTTGTGGAACTTTTTAGTCTGGGTGAACCTACAAGCATTTGTCAATATTGTGCAGCAATTATGTGGGTGCAAGAAAGTACGGTTCCTACTAGGAGTCGTGTCAATCCCGATTTCTCATTGTGTTGCAAAGCTGGAAAGGTAAAACTACCCCCTAGGCGTGCTCCACCAGATTTTTTGAATGAATTGTTACACTCTTCTACACCTATGAGCCGTCATTTCCGGGAAGCCATTCGTAGATACAATGCTGTGTTTTGCTTTATCTCCCTGGGCGGGAAAGTGGATCGTGGTATAAATGATGGTCGAGGGGTGTATGTGTACTCTATAGGTGGACAAATTTATCACTCTATAGACAGCTTATTACCTGCAGACGGTCACCCACCGAGGTTTGCCCAATTATACATTCATGACTCAAGTTCTGAACTACAGAGTCGTTTGCAGCTATTTCCAGTTGATGATCAATCCAGTTCATTGCGACCAAAGATTGTTGAAAGATTGCAAGAAATGTTTGATAGAAACAATGTTCTGGTTCAAACCTTTCGGATGGCTAGGCAAAAGATGTAGGAAGGCAATGTGAAAGAGGTGAAGATCAAATTAATTGCCAAGCGTACTCATGATGGGAGAGAATATGATTTACCGACGGGGAATGACATAGCAGCCTTGATTGTTGATGAAACCGGGCAAGATACATTTGAGCCAGATATTATTGTTCAGTATAAGAGTTCTCAATTGGAGAGAATTAATTATCATCATCCATCATTAATGGCTTTACAATACCCAATTTTATTTCCTTAGGGAGAGGATGGATGGCATCCGGACATAAGATGTGATGATGATAATGATGATAATCTTTGGAATGACAAGACACTGTCCCAGTGTGATTATTATGCATACCGCCTACAAAGTAGATTTTAGGAGTCAAATTCGGTTTTATTATCTGGGAAATTATTTCAGCAGTATGTTGTGAATGCGTACGCATTAGTAGAGGCACAACGGCTTGATTGGATCCGAAATAACCAAGCTAAACTTCGTTCCCATTATCTGAGTGGGTTAGTGGATGCATTCCTACGTGGTGATTCTGATTTAGAAATGACTGGAAAACATGTGATTTTGGCTGCTTCCCACACAGGAAGTCCACGGTACAAGTATGAAAACTTCCAGGATGCTATGGCTATTTGTAGGTGGTTGGGCTACCCAGATTTATTTATTACCTTCACCTGTAATGCAAATTGGCCGGAAATCAAGTTTATGGTTGATTTGGTAACCGCAGATGGTCGGAAAGATGTCAATAGATCTGATATTATTGCTCGGGTCTTCAAGCTTAAACTGCAGCAATTAATGTCTGAGATAAGAGATAAGAAAATATTTGGGACTACCACTGAATGTAAGTCGTACATGCTCCATAATTGTTATTTTAGTTTTTATCAATACTTTTGTTTCATATGATTGAATTATTTTATGCAAGTTGTCATTTACCTAATAAGGTTTTGGAAGGCTCCAACTGCGGCCCCTACCCATTATTTTTTTCCGTTACATAGTCTGCCGCAATTTCTCATAATCAAGATTTATTTGTTGCCATATCTATTCAGCCATATATTCAGTGCGTGCTTTGTCATTCTGATTCCTTGCATAAAGGAGGGAAAATGGAAATTTTATTCAATTTACATTAAATTTTATTCCATAATATGAGTGGTAATCATACCACAAGGAAACCCATCTGCATATCATGATGAGTTGTGAATTCAGCCACGCAGCCTAATTTTTTAATGAATTCTAGAACCCCAATCCATTATATTTTTATGGTGATCAGTATGCCTTTTAATGTTGCATTTGAAGTGGGTATATATAAGCATAGCCCTCCAATTCCAGAGTCGGAGCTTTTGAATATGTTAATTATGATTTTGGTTTTCGTATTTTATCTATACTTAATACATATTGTATTTTGTTTGCAGTTGTGCTGGCAATCGAGTTTCAAAAGCGTGGCCTGCCCCATGCTCATTTGTTAGTCTTCCTAGCTTCGGAATGTAAACTAACTGGGCCGACGGCCATTGATTCAGTCATATCCGCAGAAATTCCAAACTCTGATATTGATCCAGAAGGCTATAGAGCTGTAACGGCATTTATGCTGCATGGTCCATGTGGTATTTTGGGCCGTAATGCTCCTTGCACAGAAGGTGGTGTGTGTACTAAACATTTTCCAAAGCCGTTTTGTGAGCAAACAACGATTGATGATAATGGTTTTGCCAAATATCGACGACGTGACAGTGGAATATCTTTTAAAGTTAACTCTGTGTCATTGGACAATCGTTTTGTCGTGCCCTACAATCGCTATTTATTATTGTGATTCGATGCACATATAAATGTTGAGTTCTGCAATAAATCCAGGTATCTTTTTCATACCACATATAATATTTATGATCGACATTACTTTTTTATTCCCTTCCATGTAAAGTGCCAAATTTGGTAGCTTTTGTTGTGGTTTTTTTATTGGTTTAAACGTATCAGTTTGGCTATTGCATTACTACTCATTAGTTTTGTTGTATCTGATCATTAATCAGCAGGAAGAATAAGACGGTTACTTAATAAGGAAGGTTTGTCTGGGTTGTCATTGCCCAGTAATGAACATGAAACCGCAAATCATGTATTTCCTCAGAAGTCAGCACGGTGGGGAACAAGGGGAAGGGAAAAACAAAGCAATGGGTTTAATATTGAGCCCTTGATGAAATTATGTTGTGATTTTCTGTTGTCATAATTCTTAAATTGTTATTAATTAAAAATATAAACAAATTCATGATATCATAATTGGAACATTATAGACTCACTGTAATAAATATAAAATCGTCCTCTGATTATTGTTCCCATGATGTAATTCACACTTTCTCCTGTATGCTAGCTGTATTTGTATTTTTCTAGATGTTCTTACCTGTT